ATTTCGAGTCAATTTCATGTAATCGGGTTGACTCAGACCTGCCCCATTTTTTAAACGGGTCAAACATTGAAACCCAAATCCTACCTATTTATTGAACGGGTTGACCCAAACCCAGCTTTTTTGGGTCAGGTTATCGGGTCGTGGCAATAATAAACACCCCTAACTCTTATACATTTATTTATGTTTGAAAATAGTTATATAGATATAAGTTTGATTATTAAGATGCAAAAAATGCTTATTAAAATATATTTAAAATGTTATGATTATTTGGCTATAAAAAGAAGGTAGAACCCTTAAATTTTAATAAGACATATTTTTATGTACAATAGTGAAATAATACTTTTAGAGTCATTATAAATCTAATTTACAAACCATCTTCTACATATCATAGATATTATTGTGCTCTAATTATAAGATATTTTCTCTAGCTTTATGGGCAATGTATGTGTGAAAACAAGGAGTTTCTTAGTTATTTACAATTTCTTAAGAAATTGATAAATATCGTTACAAGAGGATTTTCTTGGACTTTAGATATTTGTTTTGCAAATCAACTTCACCAAAACCTTCTAGACATGCTGGTTTTTTTTTATGAATATTTTCTCATAAATTAGAATCTATGGATTTGAAGATATGAAAGAATTTATATAAAAGTTATGCTAAAAATTAAATAATTGGCATAATTACCAAAATACGCTTATATTATTTTATTTAGATATCTGTTTTGCAAACCAATTTCACCAAAACCGTCTAGACACGCTGTGTTATTTTATGGATATTTATTCATAAATTTGAATCTATGGATTAGAAGATATAAACGAATTTATATAAAATTTATGCTAAAAATTAAATAATTGGTATAATTACCAAAATACCCTTATAGTTTTTTATTTTCTTAATTTTAATTTGGTCAAAACTTATAAAAATTGTGGTATATCAATTTTTAGCAAACTTTCACCGTGCAACTTTAAGTATGTTATAGTTTTAATCATTCTATACATATTGGTATAATTATATTAGGTTTTAGCATGTATTTTTATATTTTTGAGAAAATTTTCCTTATAGGGAAAATTTAAATAAATAAAAAATTACATAAATATTTATAAAAATCTCATAATATAGTGTATGTCATACATATTTGCTATAATTCATTAGATGTGATTATATACATGTGAAAATGAGAATATTGATTTTTCTAATGAATGTCATTAGTCATGATTAATATGCACATTTTAAATGGACTAAACTGATGCAATAAACTTAATATTGAGCATAATATCACTTGTTTACTATATTATATATATTGTGAAGTAAATGTAAGTAAGGAAGGTTAGCTATGAACACTATAGTTAATATCGGTTGGCTATTAAATGATAATGCTCTTTACTAGAGGGAGGGCTGATGGGCTCTCCTTAAAATACAGGTTTATGGAGTAATCTTTCATATTAGTCTATAACAAATTAATTGATTACACTGACAGTTAGAGAGTGATGATTATTTATCAATTCATTGAAAGCCACATGCTAAAGAAAATGGTTAATATTAATAATTGAAAGATGCGATTGATAGTGTAGAGAAAGTTGCTATTTGCATGTTTTACATTCTTGCAACTTGTATTGTTTTGATGATTTCAAATATTATTGTTTTATATATCTCCTAACACTTTTTGGAAGATTTATTTTTTGCTCTAGTGTGTACTAACATTTCAGGAAAATCAACTCCAAGAGGTGACATTGAAAGTGTAAAAGGACGACGATTCTCTGCCGCACCGGGTAGTGGTGAAAAGAGTGTTTGTAAAGGCTTCTCCGCCTTGCTGTGGGTACAAAAGGAGAGACACTATTGGTATTAGTGCAATACTCAGAGGGTGCCTCTGGGGAGTGGATGTAGGCCTGGTTTAGACCGAACCACTATAAATCGTGTGTCTTTTTATTTTATTGCTTTTTATTTTCTGCATTTAATTTTGTGTTTTAAAAATTGTGATTGAAAAACTTTTTATAAAAATTCATGAAAGTTTAATTTCGGTTCAATTTATCAAAAGAGGGAAAATTTTTAAATTTCAATTCACCCCCCCTCTTAGTAGCTTTGGGACATTAACTTAGGTTTAACAACCTATTCACTAAACTCAACAGATAGATAATAATGGAATGATATGACAGATGGATAAAGGATAGAAGAATGAAAAATGCTAATTAAAAACTGGATGTCCTACCTTGCTATTCATAATTGCATTTACATGATAACATGTATAGGACCGATAGAAGCATTGAGGCTGATATAACATGCCATAGCATATGATAAGTATATTGTTAGACATTGATAGTTATGTATGTGTAATGCATTGATAAATATATTAATAAACACACTGATAGATAGATATACATGACATAAGGATTGATAAAAGCATATAACAGAACTATCAACATGAATATAACTAATAAATAATTTATATTTATTTCATTGCAGCACATGTTATAGATTTATAGACTTGTTATCAATTTTCTTAGAGATTAATATATGCTTTTGATTAGTGTGATACTCTTACTCCACTGATCATATTGATTTTTACTATTGATTGCATAGATTATTTACTATTCATATCGATAGCTTATTAATTGATATTGCCTAAAACCGGAGCATACATAGTAATTCTTTTGTCTTGCATTGATTGTAGTGAGAATTTTTGGTAACCTACTGGGTTTTATAAGCTCATTTTGTGGCTTTTATTGATTTGAGGTTGTGGAAGGGGTCAAGATCCTTTAGAGTGAAGTTGATTAGTGTTTTTAAGTTTTCATTTATTTCTATGTTTTATTCTATTTTTTTTGTAGTTGGGAGCTTTAAAAAAGATAGCTTGATATTGTTGAAATCTTCTGGTTATTATAAATTGCATTTTGAAGGAATGGATATAGATATATTTTGAAGTATATGATTACTAGTTGTTTTCATTGGATTTATTTAAAATGATGAATATTCAATTACTATAGTAAATTAATTAATAGATAAAATAGATAGTTCTTCCAAATTTAAATCTTGGGGTTCTATAATTTATGATATATTCAATTGTTCTCTCTTGAGGAGAGGTGACTAAGGACCAAGAATTCTAGTATAATTTTGGTATTAACATTAGAAGTAAGAATTGTTATTAATGGTGTTCATTAGCCTTAAAAGTGATGATATACATCAACATTTTTTTTGACTGTGGGTGATAAAGTTAGCATGTATTTGTGTTGTTGTTGAGACAAGATAACTAGGTGATTGTGGTTTGAAGATCATGATTAGGTGACAATGGTAGAGAGAACATTGTTGGGAAATAATGTTTGGAGACTGTGTCTATAGAAGTGGCTATACTTTAGTGGTTTGGTGATAATGATTAGTTGTGGGATCATTAATTGATTGTTAGGAAGATCTCTCTCCAACTCAAAGTCCAAATTTAGCGCTTTGTCCAGATTGTTAGGAAGATCTTCAAGCTCCAGTTCCACTTCATATGAAAAATGCGGTTTGCCCGACAAAAATCAAGTTAGATCGAGCTTTATCTAACAATCGTATTGATCTTTATCACATCCAGTGAAAGTAGCAGTATATCAAGTAAAAAAAGCACATCCACATAAATACCTGTAATTTCCCGTTATATGTGTAAGAGCAGACATCTGCATAATCAAAACTTTTATGCTTGATCTAATATTCAATACAATAATATCATTAGCCTCAAATGGTTCAAACTACCTATTAATTTTCTCTATCACAGCTTGAGAATTATATGTGACACGAGCATACATTTTTATACATAGCAAGAAAACTCAAATGAGTGCAAATATGATAAATTTGAACTTTGCTTGAAGCTTCATTGAATACATGATCAAATACTCGATGACTATTATTCGAAACTTGATTGAATCTTCTGTAAATATTATTCAAAACTTATTTTTGACCTTGATTAAACCTTGTTTAACACAAGATCGAAGCTTCTTTAACTTCTTTAACATTATTCAATCCTGATTTTGAAATACAAACATACTTTGAATAAACTTCAAAGCATATTTGATCATGTGCCGAACATTCTATCAAGGTCAAAATAAGTTTTGAGCATTGTTCAGAGTTTGTAATCTCATGTATAATATCCTTCTAGGTTTAGGGTTTATGGTGTAAATATGTAACTTCAATCACTAACCTTCAACAATAATCTTTGGCTAGTCAGAAATGGAGCCAAAAATATCATGTTGCATCTTCACATTAGAACAATCAAATGGGGTGAGAGTTATCAAAGAAAAAGAGTGTTGAGAATATGAGAAGTTGATCAATATCTTGCTAATTATGTTATTGAAATTAGAGCATTTGCTAAAAGAGAACTTTCAGGCATATTTATAAAAGTAAATATATATTTTTAATTTTGAGTATTATGAGGCATATAAATTAAAACTTTAATATATATTTGAACCAAATATTAGCTAGAAATATTACATGGGTTGAATAAACGGGTAACTCTCTGAGACATCTTCAGCTGAATTCCTAATCTTTCATTTTAAAATACAATAATTGTCATATCAAATAATAATTAAGCTCCAAATGAATTTTATTTCTTAAAGTGAAGAACCGGCGGGTTCACTTCCCTTTAACGTAGGAACAATTATTACGTCCTCCGACCGGACGTAGAGGAACGTCCGGTCGGAGGCAAATTCCCCCCAAATACCGACTTGTACCGAGTAAACATCGAGCAATATCAAATAATAACGAGGAATAACATCATGTGAAGACCCAATACGGAGTTATTTCGAGCTATCTTGAGCAATACCGAGTTATACAAAAGTTGTACCGAGTTTTTCCTAGAAAAAACTCGGTACAACTCGGTATTTCTCGATATAGCTCGGTATAACTCGGTATTGGTCTTCAAAAAACGGTATTCATCGTTATTATCAAATAATACCTAGTTGTACCGAGAAAATACCGAATTTTTTGACTAAAATTTGACTCCGACGGGACGTTCCTCTGCTTGTCCTTGCACCGGATGTAATAAAAGTTCTTAACGTAGGCCGACCATCGCTTCTAAAACCTCTTTCTTTTTAGCTTCCTCCCATGTCACCGGGAAACTCAACACCCGCCGCCGAGTCAGTGAGTTCACACCCCAAGATACCCATCTCCTGGCCTCCGGACGGATCCCTTACTCGCGAGTGGATTGACGATCTCACCGCCGCCTTGGAGTGGTCCTCGAGGAACCTTCACCCTTCCGAGCTGCCTAATGTTCTTCCCTTTGATGCTCTACATCGCCTGGTGCTTACCGCATCGAACATCCTTCATCAGGAGCCCAACTGCATTCAGATCAATCCTTTCGCCGGACATGAAGTCGGCAGCGAGGTTAGGGTAGTGGTTGTGGGCGATGTCCATGGACAACTTCATGATGTTTTGTTTCTTCTGCGCGATGCGGGATTTCCCTCTGAGAATTGTACCTTCGTATTTAATGGAGATTATGTTGATAGAGGAGCATGGGGCCTGGAGACTTTTCTGCTGCTGCTTGCTTGGAAGGTTGGGTGTTTTTTATCCTCATTGAATTCTGCATCATCGTTTGATTTTAGTTTGAAGTAAAAAATTTCTGTACTTTATACTCTGCAGTATGTTTTGTGGTGGTTTCTATAACTCGCTTGGGTGACTTTTTTCTGTTATTGTTATTAGTGCTAGCATCATTACTGAAAAAGGTATGAGATTTTACAGTGTCCTTGTACATCTAAATATCACATGTGTATGGTTCAAGACAAGCAGTCCAAGTTCCATGCTAGTCGGCAGTCAGAAATATCAAACTGTTGAAAATTGGACAAATTCTTGATTATAATATTTACTTGACATATTCGACTTGACATTGAAACAATCTATTCATTCTATTCTCCTATTATTTACTCAGAAAATTCCAAGTTATTATGTACTTGGAAATATACTTGATTATAACTTGCTCAATGAATCTTTGAAAGTTTTGAAAACCTTTATTAAGAGCTGTTTGGCATCACTTTAGTTTTTATTTTCTATTTTACTATTTTATTTTATTTTGTTTTGACAATTTTGTTTTGACATGAAATAAAATTTGTTTGGAATACTAAACATATTATTTTTATTTATTTATGTGATGGCGGTGGTAGTCATCGATGGGGTAGGCGGTGTTAGCGAGTATGATCGCGGCAGTGGTTGATGAGGTGATGAAGAGCATGGTAGGAAGATCAACAGTGGCTGAGGAGGCGATGAAGGTTGACGGTGGTCGTTGATGATGGTGGCGGAGGTTAGTGATGGTGGCTATGACTACGACTGGTTATGATAGTTGATAACAACACTGAAACCACCTAAAAGTTCTTTTTTTCAGTGTTTTTACAAATAGTTTGATTTATTTAAAAAAAAATAATAATAATTAAAAACACACTAAACAAATTGCTCTTTGAAAACAAAAACAAAAAACAAAAACAAAAGTTAAGGGAAAATTCTATAAGATGGTCATGAGACCTGCAATGCTTTATGGTGCCGAATGTTGGCCATTAAAAGAGAAGCATAATACTATGTTAAGTGTTGTAGAGATGAGGATGCTTAGGTGGATGAGTGGCTTTACCCTTAGAGATATGATACGAAATGAACATATATGCGAAAAGGTTGGAGTAGCTCCAGTGAAAGATAAGATTAGAGGAGTCGTCTTAGATGATTTAGCCACATTAAACGGAGGCATTCCGATCACCATTTTAGGAAAGTTGAGGTATTAGATTTGACTTGTGTTAAGAATGGTAGAGGTAGACCTAAAAAGACTTGGTTAGAAAATATTAGAAATGATCTTTCTTTATTAGATTTAAATGAGAATTTCACTTTTATCAGTACACAATAGCGAAAAAGGATTCATGTAGCCGACCCCCACGTAGTGGGACAAAGGTTTCATGTTGTTGCTGTTGTTGTTGTTGTTTATATTTTAAATATATAATAAGGAAATATTTTATCTTCCCATTGATGATCCCATTTTATAAAAAACGTGCTTTGGCATTATATGATAAGTTGAAAAAATATTGAATGAAAAGTATGATGGACCAAGTCTTTTCTTCTTTTCCTCCTCTTTTTAGGGATGCACTTTTTCTCTCTCTCTACTTAATTGTTGTGTACCCTTTCTTCCTCTCTCCTTTCCTCTTGGGTTGTCTACCCATTCCCTCAAGTAACAAAATTTTCTATGTATCATTTCATTGTGTTCCCTTAGCTTTAATTTGTGTTTTATCTTTTTATTGATATAGGGAAACTTTTGTTGAGTGGTAATGCATGTGAGAGAGAGAAAGGGGGTGTCAACTAGAGGAGGGGGCTTCTCGATTTTATTTTGGTTAGAGAAAAGGGGTGGGGTGAGGGGATAAGAGATAGGAAGCGTGGATGGTTATTTATTTTAAGAGAAAGGGATCAGTGGTTGGATATGTAGAAAGGTGATGGGATTGTGTAGATAGAGAGAGTTTAGGGATTAGACTGTTGTTGTTTATTCTTGAGAATTTGTAAGGAAGGAAAAACTTAGAAAAAAAGGAAGTAGATTAGATGGGTAAGAATTTGAATTTTTGGTAGTTAGGATTCCTTAGATTTGAATAAGAAAATGTGTGTTTAAACTTTTTTAGTTTAGTTTCAAGAATAAAATTTAAGTAATCCTTTATTTTAGGAGGATTTTCAGGAGATTATTATAGTTGGGGGGAGGGGTGGTGGGGGATGAGAGAGGGGGTCAAGTAATGTGAGAATTAAGACAATGAGGGTTAGGGAGATTGATTAAGTTTATAGAGTGGGATGTTTGCATGGTTTTGACTTTGGTTTTAAACTTTGGGTGTTCGGTTTCAATTCACCAAAACGAACACTAAAGAGAGAAGATAAACACATAAAATACAACAAGGGTTTTTTATAAGTTCACCCGATTGATGTCTACCTTATGTTCTATTGTCATCGTCATAGATTTCACTATGATAATATTGATTTGGCTTTATAGAGAAATTTATAACACTAATCACTCATTTATAAATCTAATGAGCATTCTCCTATAATAATGAAAACCTAGGGCAATTAAAAATTATGGTGAAATCCCCAAATTAACATTGGGTAGGTAAGTATGAGCCATGAAGGGTCTTAAGAAGAGAATACATCAATTATGGTGGCCTACAACTTAAAGAATAAAAAGCAAGAAGCACATACCATTGAGAATTCCATGGATGACTTGAAATTGATCTTCATGATAACATAGATAATCATCATTTTATTTGGACAATGACAATTCTTCGGATGAAGTTGGGCTTTGATATTAATTGAAGTAGAGATGCAAGAAAAGCTTTGCGGAAGCCTTGTTGAAGTTGTGGAAGGAGGGGGGAAGACTAGCGAAGAAAGAAAGAAAGATTAACAAGGAATAATCAATCGTAGAACCTAATAGAAAGTAGAAGAATGATAAGCACCATTTGTATTCTATAATTATAATCTCCATTACATGGCCCTTGGACCTCTATTTTTAATAAAGATCTTACAATACAAGACTAAATACATAATTTTTGTCCTAAACTAATGTTAATGTGTATGATAATTAAAATAAAAATGAGACCAGATTAAGCAACTAGGAAAATATATACAATGATAATGACACTAAAACACTAATACTCAATGCACAATTCATGTTTTTCCTATATCAAAATTTTTTTTGTCTGTACATCAATTTTAGATACTAGATCAGCCCATTTGATCAATTTTCTTCTAAAGCTGGACTAACAATTTAATTTTATTATTCTTTATTTATCTATGCAATGGATAGATTTCTTGGTTTTTCCTAATTCTCTTGATTTAGCTTCCTTTCAGCTTACCTGATATACAAATTTCATATTAGTAAAATTATCCTGGGAGCATATGTTAGGCAGTTTTCCAAGGATAATAAAAATTAAATGTCCCTTGGCTGATTGATATAAACATTAGGTTATGATGGATTTTCAAATCCATGGATTATCAGCCTATTAAATGGGGGTGGTTTGTTGTCATTTGATTAACACATTCATCAAGTTGCTGTAATTATTTGTAATTTTTCCAAGATTCTTGACATCTTAACACTCTTCGCAATCACTACCATTTGGCTTGTTTGAATTTTTAACCTGTTTTTTCTTTTAAAAAATCTTCAGGTTTTCTTACTCTCAGATATTGTTTTGCTCAGTTTAAATAGAAGATTAATTCTTTTGGTTCCTTAACATAATTTCTTTATGAGTTGCAGGTCTTCTTACCAAATCGAGTGTTTCTTCTTCGTGGAAATCATGAGTCCAAGTATTGCACTTCAGTGTATGGATTTGAGAAAGAGGTGATGACCAAGTTTGGAAACCAAGGGCAGCAGGTGTATAGGAAATGCTTAAGATGCTTTGAAGGTCTTCCCTTAGCTACCATCATAGCCAATTGTGTATATACTGCTCATGGAGGACTATTCCGCACTGTGCCTGTTATTCCATCCAAGAGGTTAAAAGGAAAAAAAGGCCGAAAGATGAAAAGCTCTACAGGAAGTAGTTCATTAAAGCTTGGATCATTAGAGGAGCTCTCTAGAGCACGACGAACTGTTCTTGATCCACCATGGGAAGGTTCAAATCTTATACCTGGTGATGTACTATGGTCAGATCCTTCATCTAGCATGGGTTTGTCTCCAAATGAAGAGCGTGGCATTGGTTTATTATGGGGGCCGGATTGTTCAGAGAATTTCCTTTCAAAATACCAATTGAAGGCATGTTGAAATCTAGTTTTTTTCCAACTTTATTTTTTGGAACGTTCTTTTTTTGGATAAAATATTTCATCTTATTATGTAATCACGAAGCCAACCCCAAGATGTTGTATGCAGGTTGTTGATTCGATAAATAATTTCCATTCTAAATACTTTAAGATTGTACTGGCAGATGTTATCCTTAGTATATAAGGTGGTTTTTCCTCTCATTTATGCTGAATTGATAAATGTGATTCCGTAGTTCATTTCAATTTATGTCATATTTATTTATTTTCCCTTCAGTTTTCATTTCATTTTAATCCTACTTAGATATCGTACTTGTTGAATTAAAGATTGCATATCCATCAATGTTGGTAATGTTAATTCATGGCGCTTTGACGATTGGTTGACTTGACATATTATTCATTCCCAAAAAAACTGATTTTCCTTTCTGTATTTAATGCTGTGCTTGTTGATGAACACTACAGAGTTGAAACTTAGAAGTACTCAATATATTGTCTGAAATGAAGCCTTTTCTCTCTCTCTCTCTCTTTTTTTAAATTTATCTTAAGCTATAATGAAAATTACTGAAGGAACTTTTACATGATTTATGAAAAAGTCAGTCAATATTATAATATCTTTGAAACTATTAAATTAGATAGTTAGAAATGGAAGAAAAATAGTAAAAGCGAATTATACTTCAGCTTGTAAACCTTAAAGTAAATCCCGGTTTTTCCTCAGAATTAATTTAGCGAGCACGCCATCCACTTATGTTGGAAATGGCTCATAAGTAACCTCTACGGGTCATGCGGCCCTTTTTAAATGTGTTTCCCCTTTGGGAAGTCTTTTAATGGTTTTATCGTGTCATTGAATTATTTTTTAACTATTACTCTTTCTTATGAGAGACATGCAATTTCATTCTAGGTAAAATAATGTAAACAATCCAAATGTAAGTTATGTTTTCTTGCTGATTTATGTTTCATTTTGCATTAAAATGAATTCTTACAATAAAATAGCGTTTCAGTCCTGGAATTTTTTTCCGTTTCAAACAGCTGATCATTCGGTCACATGAAGGTCCTGATGCAAGAGATAAAAGGCATGATATGAAGGGAATTCAGGATGGATACACAATTGATCATGAGGTTGATTCAGGAAAGCTGATTACCCTTTTCAGTGCCCCAGATTACCCTCAGTTTCAGGTTGTTTATTGTCATTCTTGCGCATTAATCTCTGATATTGAAGTTTATTGACAATATGCTGCTGTTATCATATTTCTTGTCTTTGTTAGACTTCTGTTGAAAAGAAAAAAAGTTTTTTTTGCTATTAAAATTCGATTATTTTGCATAAAATCCATTTATACTTGCACGTTCTTCCTTTTCATTTCAATGAATAAAATACTATGAGATTGCAACTTATTGCTGCACTTTTACTTTGTTCAAATTACTAACATTTTCATGCATAAAATGAACGCTTCAGTTAATTAAAGTTGCTGGAGGAATAATTGAGTTTCTCTATTCTAGTTCACTTCTTAAATTGATTTATTCTGACGATTCTTTGTATGTTGAATCAAAGCCATGCTTTATGCATGGTTGCCTGATACGTTCGCATGAGTTTTTAATTCGTAAATGTTCACTCTCAAGTCTACCAACAAGCTATGGTGTCCTGCATATCCATTTTGCATGGCATATGTCTATATATATCTATATATCTGGAGTTAGATGAATGGTATACAAGGGAAAAAAATGGAATTAGATTTTGGAATCATTTTTTCATGGAGGGTTAAGAATGAATGTATATCCATAAACATAGAGGAAATAATTGGTGATGCTTCATAATGGGTGAGGAAAGAAAAGAAGGTGAGTGATCCCCTCAAAAAAATGATATAGGAAAATTTCATGGATTTCTACTTGATTGAGGCTCATCCTTCCTCTTAAAACCTTGGCTCTCTGATCAATTAGGAGAATTTCTTGGATTATCACTACTTAAACTTGTCAAGTCGAATAATCCTTTATACTTCCAACAGTCCCTACTGACGGGCTGACAAAATCAGGGTTCCTTTACTACGACCTTTCTTATTGTTTGTTGAGTAGAAGGAACTGCCAACGATTCGATTATATTTGGCTTGTTGAATCCAGTCTCATACACCCATTCAGACCTTAGTTTCAGGTTGTAGAAGAACTTGTGCTACTCCAGCTTGACTTACTGGAGTGTGTAACCACGAAAGTCCTCTTTCTTGACATTCATAATCTTGGTATGTGGGAGAAGACGATGTCTTGAGTTTTGAAGTATCACTTGCATATATATATATATATATATATATATATCGTAAAAATGCCACATCTCCTCATTTGCATAGATCTTCGTGTTCGATGATTTTAAGTATTTAGATTTCGGCACGCGGCGCAAAGTCGATCAAAATAAATATTTAAAATTCTCCCTGCCTTGTAGGTGATTTTTACGGGGTACTTGAAATGCTTTCTTGCATTACAAGAGAATCTCAAGAAAATAAGCATATACATTGACAAACATGCATGTAATATTTTAACTTATATATGGTACTTCAACTACTTAATCTTTTTGGGTAATCTTTATGTATGATATTTCTTCAAATATTGTCCGTTAATCGGTGACATGATCCTTTGACCATTTAGATTGATGAGTTGATAAGCTCCTCCCTGGTACACCTTCTCGATGACAAAAGGGCTTTCCTAGTTGGATTCGAATTTACCCACTGATTCTTTGGTGCGGGATGATTGACATTCTCTGCACTAGGATCAATTCCCCTTATTGGAATGCTCAAAGACGCATCATCCAATCAAAGGATTTTGCCATCATTGCTTGATAAATCTCTCGGTTCTGTTAAGCCTGTTGTCTGGTCTTATCCAGTGCTTCAAATTCTTTCATCCTCAGTCGAGCATTTTGCTCTTGAGTGAGATCATGCTGGACAACGACCTGTAGTGATGGTAGTTCGATCTCTAGTTGTAACGGTGCTTCAACCCTGAACAGTAGCACATAGGGAGTGGCCTTGGTTGGTGTCTTGTAAGTTGTATGGTATGCCCACAATGCTTCTATCATCTAAGTATGCCACTATCTTTTATTCTTGGTGAGAATATTTTTCAGCAACTTCACCAATATTTTATTGAAGATCTCTGCCAAGGCATTTGCCCCCCTTGAGTTATATATGGATGAATGTCGTCAATCGGTTTTGTGCCAATCGATGAACTTGTAGATTTTAGTACTCTTGAACGTTGTGTCGTTATCTGAAATTATACGGCGTGAAACATCAAATTTATAGACAGCGTTGTGGGTGAAAAAATTAATCACATGCTCAGATATGACTTCTTTAAATTGAGTTGCTTCTATCAATTTGGATAAGTAGTTGTTAGCTTCCAAAATGAAGTGGAGTCCCACAGATGATGGTAAAACTATAAGCCCTTTTGCATCAGTACCCCAACATTGAAACTGCTAGGATGCTATTATAGGGTGCAACGGGTTTGGTGGTTGATGTATAATATCACCGTGGATCTGACATTCGTGACACTTTTGGCATGATCAATGCAATCTTTTAGAATTGATTGTCAATAATAACCCATTTTTTTATCCTAACAACCATCTTTAGACCTGATTGGTGTGCTCCACAAAGTTTTTCGTGAACTTCTGCTACCACCATATTGGTTTCTTTGGTTCCTAGGCACCTTCGCCACATCTGGTTGAAAGCTTTTCGATATAGCGTATTATTAACAAATGCATATCACAATGCTCTCATCCTGATTTGCGCAGCTAACGACTTATCTGTTGAGTGTTTATTTTCTTTAAATTAGTCGATGAAATTTGCCTCCGATCATTTTTATTCTTTAACATCTAAATAATTCCACCATGATTTTGAGGTGACGCTAGCTTTGCGCCTTCTCTTGACTCGATATTCACATGGTGGGTTTTTAATGATGATTTGTTGGGGAGGTTGAGGATCAAACGGAGTTGCATCCTACTGACCTATTTTTGGAAATTTCTCTTCCTGCGGAATTTGTAAAATTGCTAGCTCTAAGACCCAACGAGTGTGGACTCCAATCAATGTAGGCTCATTGTTCATGCTCACCATTTCCTTGGTTAAGTTGGCCAAACAATCAGCTTTTCTATTTTGAGCTCAGGGACTCGAGCTAATTTGATGCCTAGAATTTTTTTCACCGGCTCGAGAACTAGCCGAAGGTAATGGGCTATCTCAAACTTGCTAATTTTATAAACTCCCAATACCTGAGTTATAACAAGCTGAGAATCGCCATAGATCTAGAGGTTTTGGATCCCGTCTGAAATTATAATCTCCAGAGCCGCTACTAGAGCTTCATATTCGGCCTTGTTGTTAGTTCAGTGTTTAGTTAGACCGAACAAGTATCTCATTATGCCTCATTCAAGCGTTATGAAGATGGGACTGATGCCGGCCCGGGCTAACAGTGCTCAAGGGACTCTTCTAGTGCTGCTGTATACAGGATAAGATGCTTCCCCGAAATTGATGCTGAAAGAATGGGTGGTTTAATAAGTATCTTTTGATATTATCAAAAGCTTCCTGATACTCTGTCCATTTGAAGCAGACATCTTTCTTTATTATCTTTGAAAATGGATGACACATACCCGACATATTTGATATGAATCACCGAATGAAAGCTAGCTGTCCTTGTAAGGAACGAAGTTGACGAAGGTTCTTTGACGGCGGCATCTCCATGATCGTCTTGATCTTATTGGGGTCGATTTCGATTCCTCTATGGCAAGCGGCTTACTCCAAAACTTTCTCCGAGAAGACCTCAAAAGCACATTTGAAGGGATTCATCTTTAGATCGAACTTTATGATTATATCAAATACGGTTCTTAAGTTCCAAGGTGGTGATTTTGGTCCATTCCTTTACCACAAGATCATCCATATAGTACTCAACCTTTTGATGGATCAACTCATCGAAGATGCACGTCATCGCCCACTGATAGGTAGCACCAGGGTTCTTCAAGCTGAGGGGCATGATTGTATAGCAAAATATGCCAATGAGCGTTCTGAACGATGTGTAATTCTCATCTTTAGGTGTCATCTTGATCTAGTTGTATCCCAATGATTCTTCTATAATAGACCACATGCCATAGTTGGATGTGTTATCAACTAAGGGCTCTGACACTGGGAGCGAAAGTCGTCTTTTGGACATGCCTTATTAAGATCCCTAAAGTCAATGCAGACACGAATCTGACATTCTTCTTCTTGACTGGGATAATGTTGGCGATCCAATTGGCATATTATTAATTAGAACATGGAAGTCTCTCCTACAGCTCTTGACGTAGCAACCATGAGCGCCCCCCTTCAATTCACATTTCCAACATTTAATCTCGAAAGAACGTGAATGCTTTGCTTTCATATTAACGATTTTCTCACCAGAGTAATATACTTGAGGAGCCCATTCGATGTATTTATAACGCACAAGTAGGACATAAGGTTGTGAGGCTTGATCTCTAGATTTTTGTTCTCCATTCAAATAATGCAGCATTTCTCTAGAAACCACAATATTTCTGCAGAGATGAGACGTTTTTCAATTGATCATTCTTTGACTCTACATAATCATTCAACCTTGCATGCTTAGTGCCACAATTAGGGCCTTCCTTTGGTAACATATAAACGGACTTCCTCTTTACATCGAGCTACCCTCCTTTATCGCATCTGTCACTATTAGAGTCTCTAGAGTTGTCAATTGGATGACTTAGTTGTACCTAATCGACAAAACCTTCAAGTACAAAATAAAATGAGTGTGATTCTTCTTAGCGTGTTTGTTAATTTCAAGGGTTTTCTACCGTGCGCTTGATCTATTGCAAATTTACCATCTTTGCTTGTAGGATATTTGTGTGTTCGTTGAAATACTTTGGCATTTGCTGTGTGCTGCATGCACATGTCTGCATATAACATTATCATTTACTGGTAGGTTTTGTATGTTCATTACTATGTTGATATGGGATATTAGTTGAGCTCATTCATCACTGGTTTCTTTGAGTATGTTGGCTGGCAAGTTCTCATTCAATACACCTCTGTACCTCCTGCTTGCAGAGTACTATTGATGTGAGCATTGTACATTGATCACTTGATCTTTGCTTGCGAGGGATTAATACATTTACCCGTCGATGAATGGCTACTGACTATAGGGCATTTTTGCATTCACGGCCTCTTGCTGACTAT